TAAGTAAAGACTTGTGTCGTTAAAGTTTCGTTGGAACGAAGTTACGGAAAAGTTAATTAACAAACGGAGACGTAACACTGTATGGCTTTGTTTCATTATTTGCTTATGAAAAGGAATATTGTACCTTTTATGATGCATGCAACTTTCTTAATACATAATGAGCTAAAATACTGCTTTAATTTTTTTATTTATTTACTGCTTTTTTATTTTTCCTCTTAGCCCTGTTAAGTTTCTTTCTAGCTACAGCACTTTATCTGTTTATTGATGCATTGTTTCTCTGAAAGCATTATATTTTACTAAGAGGGTAAAATCATGCTTTTCCTCGCTTTTTTGCTAGCTCGTCAGGCTCTTTGAGTAATACCTCTATGCTGATGTGCATTTTTTTGTCTTCTAGATACTTTTAGTACCTCATTCCTGCTGTTATTACATTGTGCTTCAGCTTGGGCATGAAGGACAGATTAGTGAAATCAGGAATTACTGAAAAGACAGGTCATAAACTTTTCTTTCTTATAAATTCTCAACCAGAAAACCCTTAGTAACAGAGTAGCCCCCTCTCTACTGATGCCTACTCATTTGAGATGGTTAGCAGCATCTTGAAGATCTTCCTCAACTTGTATTTTGAATCTTACATGTACCCCGAGGGAAGTTATCCAGTCTTTCACTGCTATCAGCTCCATGTTCCTGTTTAATCTCATGTGAAAAGACTTTGTATATGGTGAGCAGTTCATCACACTATTTATCTGATTGCCATCTGCCATTCAGGAGGATCTGCAGGACTTTCTCAAAATTTACTGCAGAATAGGTAGATTACATGACCAACTTTTGAAGTGTCAGTGAAGCCAGACAGCAATAACTTGACTATCCAGACTACAGAAATGAGTGGTGCATTCTGATCTGAATTTCTAAACCCCAAGGTTACTGACAGCCTTCTGATCAATCACTATCTTTAGTGACTTCTAAGTTACAAACCACAACTCTACATGCTTAGTTTATTTGGTCTTTCTCGTCTTGAGTATCCAATCTTGCGAGCCTCTAATAGGTGTTTGCTTTCTTAAGGATTGGTGCCATAAGAACATTTATCTGAAACTTCATGAGAAAGAACTGCAGCTACATAAGTACAGAGATGAAGATCTCCAACTTTGCTACTGCCATTTTTATTGCCATGAAAGAGACTGCACTAGATGCATTGTTTGGGTTATTGCCAAAGTGTGAAACATATTTCTTCACATTTGAAGAGCACAATCAGCCACTTTGGCATCTTTTACCTATTTGTGTGCACAGAGCTAAAGTGCTCCCTGTCACTTTAAAACAAAATTATTTGTCCTTGTTGATGAATCTTGAAAAAGTTACCAGAGTGCCATTCAGTTTCACTAGCTTCCCTTTAAAGGTTTCCATGGACAATATGGAGTTCACAGCTTCTGATATTTAGGTCTGGCACTCTTGTATAAGATCCTAGTAGAATCTCCACTTAACATTTGGGCCATTCATTGAGATCAGTAGTAAGCACTTGGGCTCCAGTTGGGTTTTAACTTGTTTGAAATGCTCCACTGGGTAAGCTACAGAGATATGATTGAAAAACTGACCCAAAACAAGGTTACCTTACATCCACTTGATCAGTGTCATTGTCTCACTGTTTGATTATAAGATCATTCTGCTCATTCTGAGAGATTCTTTTCAGGCAATTGTCAAAGGACACTGAGTAACACTTGGAAGCTGTGATCTTGTCCACCAGCTGATCAGGAAAATATGGGCAGAACATACCAAGTAGCACACTTTGTAGCTCAAGATGCAATTTCACAATCAGAAAACATCTTGGCAAAGGCCTGTGATGCATTCTGACAGAAATTAAATGAGTATTGGCTCATTATCACATTCAGTTTCCTGACTGTACTCTTGCCATTTGGCAAGGAAGAGCTGCTGTCTGATGTACCAGATGGTCCATTGCCATTGGCTCATTTGGCTGAATTTGATATAGCAAAGAAGCTGGTGATCTTTAGTGTGGATGAAGATGTCAATGAAGTCAGCAGTTGATGAGTTTCCCCTTCAAGTGGCTTTTGACAGCAGTTATTCCCATATTTTCCAAATCAAGTGTTTTCTTATACAACTTGCAATATGCCTTGTAAAAATTAGTCTTCACTTCTTCCAGCTATAATGCACACTCTGGGTCATACTTCCCAAACATTCAAAACTGGAATTTCTTGGAAACCATGTCTGCTTATCATAAAGCTTCAGCAAGTCTGCAAAAGTCACAAATAATTAGTTATGGAAACAAATATATCTGTATATCATATTATCCCAATACAGGCCCTGGCATGTTCTTACATTCAGTTATCCTAAATTGTATGTTTTCACATACACTTGCACAAAGACACATTGATCAGTCCAGTACCCTTTTCACCTTTTTAGCTGTCACGTTTTCATCAGCATTATATCTAAATACTACTCCTAATTATACTTTCAGTTTTCCGTTGCTCCTAATTTTGAAATCAGATCAAGTTTCACCTATAATTGAAGGTGCATTCCCGTGCTTTGGTTTTGTATATTCATAAGGATAAATAAGGTGACTGGATAATGGTAACAACTCACTTTACAGACTCTTATGTTGTAGAAGCCATCTCATGACAGGCAAATGTATAAGAGAGCTGCTTCATTTTCTGTGGTTGTTCATGAAGATTGGTCTTCATGACTGTTACCTACAACTAACTTTTCAGATTAAGAGCTAGTTGCTGCATTGCAAGACCAAATCCCTAAACCATCATGCCAAGATCTATACATATCATTACCAAAAGATGTGTACATCTAATAACTGTAAATGCCTAGTGAACAAGAGGTCAATTAACATAGCTCTTGTTTACTAGGCATTTACAGTTATTAGATGTACACATCTTT